CACAGAGACATGAAGTGATATCGAGAGAGAGACAGATACTGGCAAACGGAGGGAACACGCCGAGACTCAAATAGAGGGGCACTGGCTGTGGAGGGGGCAAACAGTAACTTACAATACAGGCACACTTCAGAAATAAGCACACATGGAGGTCTGTATTTCGTTTCTTCTCCCCAGTGCTCGGTGCAGATGAGGAATGTTGTGTCGTGCTGGCCTTAATCGGGTGCTCGTGAAGAGCACTTATTCCCCATGGCGTGTAAAGCTGAGAGTGGCTCTATGGTTGCTTTGTTGTTCAGTTATATGTATGCGCACTGAATGGACATCCTGTAATCCAAGTGAGTATTTGTATGTTGAAATTGTACGCATCTTGGCGTGGTGTTTATTTATAGTAGGGCTCAGCTTTATTACCGTATTATTGTTATTGCTTATTCGGATATGTTCCGATCGCGATGTGATTGACACAGACACGCAGATCGACGGATGCAGATACACGGCATGGAGAGAGATGTCGGCGAAGGAAGAGTCACATGGAGAGAGACCGACAGACACGTAGAGACGCAGAGATGGCGTTACTGAGATGGGACGGAGAGAGAAGCGTAGACAGTGACTGAGATGGACATCGAGAGAAAAGACATGGAGACGCAGAGAAATGAAGACGGAGATATACGGAGACGATCACTGACAGACACATGTACTGTGGACACTCGTATATGTAGCCACTAATGCAGAATATGCCGTTTGGATTATTGTTGACATTTGAGTACTAAAATTGTATATTGCAGTCATGTACTATACAAAGCGGGACTTTTCATGTCATTGGCACATTATGTTTTCTCTAATTACTAATAGTACTATCACGAACAAACACAACACAATAAAAGCGTTTTGTAACCTTCGGCAGAGAGACAATGACAAAATAAACACGTGTCATCAACCGCCGCCAATGTTGCTGTTATTCATGTGTGGGATTCGGTTTACCTTATCTGAGTTTCAGCAGGTTCAAGTTCAGAGGACAGCAGGGCTGGGCACAGCTGAGAACGCAGATGCTGGATCTGTCAGTCATCTCGGTCAGTTGAGCAATGCCCACCTGGGTCTGTCCCATGACCTCCTTGCCAGCGGCGAGCCTTCCGCACTTGAATATGATTATAGCCTCAAACTGCACGGAGCCTGGCACAAGTGGCCTGTGGCTATGTCAACGCCACTTCGTGGAAGGATGGTGACAGTTATATTCTTAGCTCTTTCGGTAAAGTCACGTTGAAGGGAAACAATAAAATAATAAATTATATATAAAACAATAAAAAAATTCTCACGACGTTTCGACCATAACACAAACGGTCGTCATCAGGTGACCGTTTGTGTTATGGTCGAATATATATTTTATTATTTTATTGTTTCCCTTCAACGTGACTTTACCGAAAGAGCTAAGAATATGAATTACTGCAGTCACGAAAGCTTTAAATCAAAATTTGATGGTGACAGTTGTTGGTGTTGACTCAACTGAGAAATGGTGCTGTGATTGTAACTGCAGTACATGTAGAGGTGCACCTCGTGAGGGGGAAAGGGGGGCAGTTACCCCCTTCTCCGAAATGCTTAGCCGCTGTATCTCATGTTTTATATCAGGGGTGGGGAACGTTCGGCCCGCGGGCCGTATGAGGCCCGTGAAATCATTTGTTCTGGCCCTGCCAAGGCAACCGCAGGCGGGACTTGAAATTCAATCAATCTAGGAGCAAACCTGGCAAAGCAGTTGCGAGTAGCAACATCATCAATACCAGCTAACATCATCACACGCCTCACCAAAGAGAAGCAGTTACAGCCATCACATTAGGCGTGAGTTAATGAAAAGTTTGACCGAATATAACGGGCTAATTTTTAAGTTGATCATTTTGTATGGCCCGCGAATGATGTTCTAAATATCCAAATGGCCCTTGGCAGAAAAAAAGGTTCCCCACCCCTGTTTTAGATAAACAATGTCTCCTTCATATATGTCTCGCCAAAGTTTCGAGCAAAACCTTGAATTGCGAGTAACTTGGTCCGCGAGTGTTTTGCAAGACGAGCAAAACTTTTCAATTAATATTAATTTGATAAACGAGCGAGGTCTTGCAATACGAGTAGCACGTATACGCTGTGTCTGCCGAGCGTCACGTGATCACAACTGATATACGAGTGCTTTGATATGCGAGTGCTTTGGATTACAAACACGTTTCCGGAACGAATTATGCTCGCAATCCAAGGTTTTGCTGTATTTCATTACGCGACCCACCAAGTCCAACGTCTGGACTTATCTGCAGCATCATTTAAGTCCGGGGGCACTCGGGCTGGGTTGCAACGTGCGACGCCTACATAGGCAGATGCAGGCGTGCTGGAATCAATGCTCTCGAAGTGTCAGGACCTGGGAGAAAGGGAAAGTGCCTCTTTTAAGATGTGGATCCGCATTATACGTACTTGTTGTGCGTGACAGGGCGTTTGTGGAGTTGTTTTATCCTTCAGGGAACGAGAGAGACGGAATATACAAAGACGGAGAGTCAATACGAACGAGGCAGAACAAGACTGAATGAATGAACACGAGCCACCCCGTGTATACGGGCCATGTGTGAAAAAATAGCTTTATAGCTTATCGGATTCCTCCAGTATAAATATGATTACGTGTAAGCAAGCGGCAGACAGTACCAACAAGTGGTGTATCAACGAGAGAAAAGCCATACTCGCATTATTGACTCGAGTCCTGGCTCAGAATTGAGACAAATTCATCGTTCGTCTGGGAGTGAATTTTAACGAGGATTAGGGGTGTGGTGTGTCGGTGTGGTGTGCGGGGTGTCGGTGTGGTGTGTCGGTGTGGTGTGTCGGTGTGGTGTGACGGGGTGGTGTGACGGTGTGGTGTGTCGGTGTGGTGTGTCGGTGTGGTGTGTCGGTGTGGTGTGTCGGTGTGGTGTGTCGGTGTGGTGTGACGGGGTGGTGTGACGGTGTGGTGTGTCGGATTGGTGTGTCGGTGTGGTGTGTCGGTGTGGTGTGTCGGTGTGGTGTGTCGGTGTGGTGTGACGGTGTGGTGTGCGGGGTGTCGGTGTGGTGTGTCGGTGTGGTGTGTCGGTGTGGTGTGTCGATGTGGTGTGACGGTGTGGTGTGTCGGTGTGGTGTGTCGGTGTGGTGTGTCGATGTGGTGTGACGGTGTGGTGTGTCGGTGTGGTGTGTCGGTGTGGTGTGACGGTGTGGTGTGTCGGTGTGGTGTAACGGTGTGGTGTGTCGGGGTGTCGGTGTGGTGTGTCGGTGTGGTGTAACGGTGTGGTGTGTCGGTGTGACGGTGTGGTGTGACGGTGTGGTGTGTCGGTGTGACGGTGTGGTGTGTCGGTGTGGTGTGACGGTGTGTCGGTGTGACGGTGTGGTGTGTCGGTGTGTCCACGTTGGAGTGGGCATCCACATTCAATCGTTTTGAGCTCTCCACTTTTCAGGCCAAAATATTAAATGTAACAGCTCCCTGCAGGGTGGGCTGGTAGAAGTTCGCAAATGAGATAATGTGACTTCCAAATGTTGGGTGCAATAAGACATGTCAAGTCTCTGCGCTGTCTATTGCTGATTTTACACCCAACAACATGAGATTTCACTTCGTTAAAGTATTGAAAGGGGATGGACGGGCGGACACATTAATCTATTGCAGGCTGGTACACTCAGTTTACAACTTCGTTCCTACCAGTATTATTTCGCCTTTTAAAAACAAAAGTGCGAGCGATATAACTTCAAACGAACCCAACTTTCGTATGTACTGTACGTTGAACTTCATTCGCACCGTACGTAGCCAACCATACGTACACAACATCCTTCCTCTTGCTGTGTGTTCGCATTCAGTCGTTCATTGAAAGTGCGGAGTCCAAGCAAGGGGCAAGGCAGTCTGAAACCACAAGATAAATAAATACAAACGTGCACCTCCGTTCCCATCACTGTTTCACCGCATGAATGTAAAAGCGTTTGTGTACACATCCCACGTGGCACCCAGTCACACGGCCTTCTCCGAGTGATTTTGTTCAGCAGCATTCGTTCGACCACAAGCGAACGCCGCACCGGTTTCAACATTGAGCGTCTCATCAGCAGGGTCGGACTTGCTCACATTGACGCTGATCATTATTTTGTGTTTATCTACTGCGTAGCTTTCCCTTAGGAGGCCGTTCATAAATGACGTCACGCGTCACGCGATTTTGGACGATTTTTTGACCCCCCCCCCCCCGTCGTCACACGGCGTCACAAAAAGTCAGACCCCCCCCCCTCAAATATGACGTCACAAAGCTCTGCCCCCCCCAATAAAACATGCTTCAAATCGCTTTAAACTATTGTCATTGTAGTGCGTATTTAATGTGGTGCTGCACTCTGATGTTGTAGGAGAAAACATTTATTACAAAGTCTATTTAATTCAATAGAACGTGTTGTCTTTATTTATTTATAGTTACGCATTTTGATGTGACGTCACATTTCTCAAACCCCCCCTTACCTCGTCACACATCGTCACAAATGTCTGACCCCCCCCAGGTGCGTGACGTCATTTATGGACGGTCCCTTAGAACTCGGACCCATATTTAAGAGAGAGAGAGAGACAGAGCGAGCGGGTCCTTTACGTAGACCGTAGAGTGTAAACATCTGGCAGTTCACCAGCATTGGTTCGAGCAGGAGATGGAGCGATTATTTATTGTATGGGAGGTCCGTGAGAGATGGCGAGGGCTGGGGGTGGGGGGGAGACATTCATCCAGCAGTGGATTGAACGTGGCAAATCGTGTTGAGGCTGCCACACCGCCACGTACGCAGCGAATGAAAATTTCAAATCTCGCCACAATCGAAGCGCGTGTCGAATAACGTTGAGAATCGACTTTAAATCGGTTACACTCAGAGCCAACGACGTCATTTTGCACGGCAGTCGGTCCGCACGCTACGCAATGACGTCATTCGCGCCAAACCGTTTCGCGACCGCACGTGTGAAGAAAAAACACGCGGCGGCGTAGTGACGTCACGCGTTGAGCCACCGCGCGGGTGGTGACATCACGTAAACGTTACGTCATCACGCAGCTGACTGTCTCCATTGTCGGGGTTGGGGGGTAGGGTCAGTATCACGTCGTAGGCGATTTTTTTATCTTTTTGGTTCGTAATTGACGAATTTGTAATCCCTACTACGACTCTCCTAACGACCCTGCAAAGGTAATCTTTTTTTATCTGTTGAGTTGGTGAATGTCACGCGCTTGCGTAGTTGGCTGCCGGCTGTGATGAAACTAGTCGAGACGGGAGTGTGGTTGAGTGCTGTAGGCCGCCACGTGTTGTGCCGACCGTGGATGGGTCTCAGTGTTTTTTTAAAGTGAGGAATGATTATAATTGGTAACGTTATAATTAACTACACAATCAGAGGCGCTAGGAGTCGTTCATTCTTGTCAGCGTTGCAGCGGTGGGTCAGCAGCAGCAACGATCAATCAATTGCTTGACAAAGGCCTTCCGAAGGCTTCTCTATCCCTCGCGCCTGCACGGCAGTCGATCTCATCTCGCTCCATCTCCGCCGTGGACATCCTCCTTTGCGCGCCACTCAGTTATTCCTGCGTTGTATCACCATCCATTCTTGCCACTGGAGCTGTGCACTTCTAAATCTAGATTGAAAACTCATTTCTTTGGAACTGCTTTGTGTTTTTAGTGTTGTTGCCCTTCCCCCCCCCCACGGTTGTCTACGTACGGTGCGAAGGAAGTTCAACATGCATGCATTGAGCCGTATACTACCCAAACCCACTTACATACTTAACCAGTTAGCATTGCCTCACCTGCATATGTTCCTCTAAACCACGTGTTTCTCGTGTTGGTCGTGTCATCCCAAGTGTGCCTCCTGGCTTCTTGGATCGCTTTTCAACGTTCCATATGTTTCATCAGTCTCGGGGTTCACGTTTCTGGTCCAGATTTCTCTCGTAGGTATAACATATACAGTGCCAAGTTGGGGTCGCAAACGAATATCAATATTAAACATAGTTTGCTGTGGCCAATCGTGAGGCGTTGATAATGAGACTCTACACCTTTTGGGAGGCTACTGCTGGATAAGGGATTCTTAGGTAATACAGGCAGACCTTGTTTAGTGCTCAAGATGCGTTCCTGGAGAGGTGAGCGATAATCGACGCAGTGCCATTGTCAGAATCAATATTTATTGTGGAAGAATCAGATGAGCAATAAAGCTCTTTTTCACAGATGACCAGTGGGAGCACGGGGTAAGAACGTTACAACAAACAGTACAAAACATGATAGCTCAAAGTACAAGAAAGGTAAACAAAAATCACCCAAACACCAAAAAATAAAACTAATCCATTCCCATACAAACAGGTGTTAACTTATTTTTCAGAAGCGACCTGGCCAAAAATGATAGCTCAACAAAGTGGCCCATCATTTGGACATTTAATCGTTATGGCGGTGCCCCGGGGTACCAAATAATACAAAATAGCCGAGACAATTAAATATTTTATTTCTGGGACACTTTTTTCCAGGGGTGTAACTTAACTCCGCGACTGGGGTACCATCAATCCAAAATCAATGCTCGCCAAAAAGCATAAAAATCCGTTATCGAAAATTTTAGCTTTGGATAGTGCATCGTGTACAGCTCGTCGAGATGAGTCGATTGCCGCATCGCCGACCATCAACAGACTAAAAATGACTGCATGCGAGAGCCGGGGCAGGTACCCCGGGGTTCCGCCATAAGGTTCATTTATAGAAGCAAAATCATCTAAATCATCTCAATGCATGTTTGTATACGGAGGATGCGTTTCCGACAGCTTTATTTCTCACGTCTGAACATGAGGCCTTCGTTGGGGTATCGGTAGTAGCGCTACTAATAATACATTTGATAAATTATGCATTCGACTGTACTACATTCCTGTTGGACATTTGCGAACACAATAACTTTCTAGCTTATCGGATGCCTCCAGCATAAATAAGAAATAGTAACTCCAGGACCTACGTTATCTTAGTGATTCCCGAGGACAGCATTTGCTGTAGTGAGGTTTCTCTTAGGTGGAGCCTCAGAGTCTATCCCGGTCTCACGAGTTCTCACCTAGCTTTATAATAATATTGTAAAAAAATCGATTTTTTTTTATGTAATCGTGAATCTTGTTAATCCATCGCGCCGGAGTGGCTGAACGAATGGCAGCACAGTTGCCAGCGGATGTGCGAACTTTGGGTTTTCGTCTTCATTCTCGTAAAATAAAAAAAAATCACCAGGGCAGAAAGCGCCTTAACGAATCGACCTTCTGCGGGGTCAACTTGATTTGCTCCTCAAATGAGCGTTAAGGCGATGCTCATCTGTTTATACCGCTTAACCGGTGGTGGAAATTACACATTTGCCCCAAAGGCCACCATACACAGAGAGATCATCAAGTCGGTGTAAGGCACATTTTTCATATTGTGTATTCGTGCGTGCATTGCCGCCGTCAACATTCGCGTCGACGTTCCCTGCACCACGCATTCGAAAATTTCCGCTGCACGGTATCCATGCCGCAGCCTGTGAGCCCCCCCCCCCCCCACTTCTTCCCCCCCTGTGCAGCGTGAACCACGGGTTGTAAACAACTGCTTGTAAACTCTTCGCCCAAATTGAATGCCGTCATTCAATTCTCTCTTCAAAAAATAGATTTTTAAATCGAGATTTCCCTCTGGAGGCGTTCCGCGTATCAAACTACCGGGCTTGTACGCATGGCAAATTTCCAGTGACGGTAACAAGCCAGAGGGGATAATGCGTTTAGTGGGTGAATACATGAAAATGAATGGGAAATAGGTAACGGATTGCACCGGCTAATCAGGTAAATGCATTAAAGTATACAAACTCATGCATTGCCGTGGGACATTGAGTAGAGATACATATCAGAACTCAGTTTTGTGTCTGCACATGTAAATTCAATGTTTTAGTCCATCGGCCTATTGGTATTCCAGACCGATTTTATAAGGCGACAATTTGTTTAAGCAAGCAAACTCTGAACCAGTTAAGGCCTTCTGTGTCTTGTTTAACAAGTTTGACTCATGATGAAAATTATGATGGTAACAATTGTCATAACGGTCACGACTCTTCATCATAGGCGGTGCAGCTGGGATCATGTCACGGCAGCAAGGCAGGTTGGAGAGAAACTTCGTCTCCAGAGGCTCACGGGACCGCGGGGGCAACCACGCCGTCGGCAGTGGCTCGCGGTTCGCGGGCTCCGTGTCCTCGTACGCCTCCACTCCCGCGTCGTCCTACTTCTCCATGGGCAATGCGGCCGGGGCTCAGCTCATACAGAGTCTCGCCACCAACTCGCTCAACTCGCAGTCCAACGTGCATTTCAGGGTAGGGTGGGTCTCGCGTTATACTGGAGCTGTGCACTTTTAAATTTCGATTGAAAACGTATTGTTTTAGAACTTGCATTTTGTGTTTAGTTTGTAGTCCTTCCCTCCGCCCCTCCCGATTAACATGGTTGGCGACGTACGGTGCAAAAGGTCAACATTCCTGTAATTTTTCACGATACGACGTTTCACTCAGTTTCGCCTAACTTTGCAATTGTATTTTGTTGTCTTGATTGTGTGATGTGATATAGTTCTTAGTAGGAATGAATATCACTTAAAGGTTTTAAAAACTCTCAACATCAGTCTGCCATAAGTGTTCTGATCATGATAACTTTACAATCTGTAATGCTTACAGCGCACATGCTCTCAGAACCACAAAACATTATTACGGAAATTACATATGCCTATTGTGCGGTCAATTACTCTGGATTTTTTTTACAAAGTACTGATGTAATGGGTAATGGATTTTTTTAAATTATTTTGATGAACTGATTACTTCGTAAGTATTTTGTCAGTTATTTAGGATGTTCACACACGAGAGGGATACCGAAGGAAACAAGTATAAATTTCGATTTAAAGCTTTCGTGACTGCAATGATTCATCTTCTTTGGTTCTTTCGGTAAAGTCAGAATTCTCACCAGAGAGAATATTATTGTGTTATTTTATTTTATCAATTTATTATTTTATTCTCATTCTACGTGACTTTACCGAAAGAACCAAAGAAGATGAAACAAGTATATGCGAGGCGATTGCACTTAGAGGTGTCGTATAATCCAATACGTGTGTGTGCATATGAGACCAGCGTTATATAACTTTATTGACACTGGACACAAGTTTGTGGTGCATAATAGTTTCCGGTTCGTCTCTTAGAATACGGTTACATTAATTATATTTTTCTCTTACAACGTGTACTGTGTTTGTGCATTGTTTACTCCGTGGGTAGCCATCGCAGCTGCTGCCTGATGGCATGCAGTTTGGAAACATTCCCTGGAACACGGACGAGCCGCCGTCTAAGCAAATGAAAAGCAGTAAGTGCGTTTAGGCAACGTGTGCCTGGTGTCCTGTTATGGTTGCGTCAGAGACTGACATCCGATCCAGTTTCCTAATATACGCCTCCTGCAACGTGGCACGAGACAGTCAATGATAAAGAGGTCAGCGTAAACAGATGCCCTCATGAAGACCCCATTGGCACATTTAGATGAATCAGTATAATTATGCTCATGTTTCCTTTATATGAAAAATATGACATGTTTAACCGATTGAAGTTACATTTTCGATTTCCCAGCCTGGCATTTGAAGCTGAGCAATATAAAGTCAATAAAATCTCGCCCCCACCACCTAAGTCCACCCACGAAATGGTTACACCACAGTCTATCGGCAGTTTGCATGTGGTGGAGTAAAGTGTGTGTACTGTCACCTCTTAAGATGTTTCCCAAAATACTCTTTAGAGGGGGCTTGGCTCTCCAGGGCTGCCACTAGTTGAAGGCCCTTCTGTCAGCAGTGGTATGAGCAATGCGTTTCCTGTTTCGCACCGTTTACCATTTACAATTTTAATTGGCCTGTGACCATATATGTCAGCAGTGACGTGCAGTATATGCTGTACTGGTAAACTGTAGGTGTAAAATGCAGTACCTGCTGCAACATTTTACATTTCTGTGCACATTTTACATCAACAACTTAAAATAAGTATATACAAAGCAGAACCAAATAGCTCTTGTTGATACGAAGGTCGTGTACCCTTAACTGTCTGAGATTAGTTTAAAGCACTTGCAAGTCCGTCAGGTGTGCCATGGCGCTGCAGTAATGCAACTCCAATACATTTTAACACATCCATAAAGCGATGTCATTGAAATGCTATGCCTGCACACTTGACCATAACGAGAAAACTTTCAATCAACATTTCAAACTCATGTTGACATGGCCATCCACAAGATTATAACTATTTACGCATTTCATGAAAAACCTCACCTCGATGGGTCCGTCGTCGTGGTGATGAATGGAATGCGAGAGTAACGAGGGAGGATTCCAAAGCGAGGGGCTGATGTGATCATCCCGAGCTATTTCACCCCTCCTACAACCCCCCCGTAGCCAAGGAGCTGCAGTCAAAGGCTTCGTGGACAATTGTCAATGGACCAGAGAAATTAGTACATTTTTATACATATGTAGTGACATCGCCGGATGTCACTGTACAGTGCTGGCCCTAGAGAGGCACGGCATGTGATGTAACGACATCGTGGACACCGCGATGATGTGGTTGTAGTACCGGCCCTAGAGGGGCTCGGTGAGCGCTGGTTGCTAGCGCGAGGTGGCACCACGCTTGGCGTGCAGTGCCAGCCCCTACAGGATAGGGTGTGGGAGGGCCGGCCGTAGGAATGAGGTGACTAAAGGCCATGGCACTCGGATTGACCCAAGAGGACACGTCACCAGTTAAGTATACAAAGGAGCCCCAAGTGGGGGCTGGGGGGTGGTCACGTGGTCCGGGTCCAGATCCTGCTCGATGATTCTGGAAGGTGGTCGTGGCCACGGGCGGAGCCAGCCACACCAAAGGATATAAGCCGGGTCCCCCAGAGGGACCGGCTGTTGTTGAAACCTTCATCTACGTCTACATTCTACCGAGTCTCCAACACGTGGACCTGGACCCGAGCTGTGGTCCCGGTCCGTAGTAGCTAGTTACGTAGAAATTAGTGTAGTTAGCCTGGTGGTCACCACCATAGGTTGTTATTCTGTTAAGGGGCAGTTACCCCGTGTGTTGGTGTTAAATAAATGTGTTGCATCCAAGAGTACGTCTGCGACTCAGCTGAACTCACTACACAAAAAAATACAAGCAGCTTGCGAAAGTGTTATTTAAATCCTACATGTTTCGTGTCTCCTTTGTCTCAGATCCAACCTGGATGTCAGGGCTGCTGCAGAACCAAAGTGGATCCTCCACCCAGGACAGCTTTGGGCTTGGCCAGAGCAACTCCCTACTAAACCAGCCACCAGCTCAGGGTTTCCCATCGTCCAACCAGAGCGCTCTCAACCAGCAGCTGATCTCAATTCTACTGCAGAAGCAGCAGCCACAGCAGCAGTCACAGCAGCAGCCACAGCACATTACAGCCGTTCCTCCCGTTCGCCTGCTGGGGCCTGGCTTGACTCTGTCCACGCAGCCGAATCAGCAGAAGGGGCTGTTGCCATTGCCGCCGAATTTCCTTTCAACGAGCAGCGCATCCTCGGCCTTCAGCTCGACGCCGTTTATGCAGCTCGCCTCGTCCTCGAGTCTCATGCAGTTCCCCCCGCCCGTGCCTCCCGTTCCACCCACGGCGGGGCTGGCGCCGGGTCTCGGCACAAACGGGATTGGCTCGCCGTTCCCGTCAAATATGTTCTCGTTGCCACCGACGGGCCTGGCCATGAACCAGGCTGCCCAAGCGATGAACCAGGTGGCCCAGCCTCTGTTGCAACATCTCGCACAGCAGGCGCCACCTGGCCATTTCATGATGGGCATGCAGCAGCAGCAACAGCAGCAGCAACAGCAGCAGCAACAGCAGCAGCAGAATGCGGCGGTGCCGATGATTACTGGTGTGCCGCTAAATGGCATGCTCCAGAACCCTGGTACCGTGGGTCTCCAGCTGCCGCAGATGAAAAAAGAAATGAGGGATGGGAAGATGGAGTTCAGCGATCCTGACCACCCTAAAGGTTAGTTCTGTCATCCTATGTACCAACTTCCTGTCCAGTGATTTCACGAGCAACTGAGCAGTAGTTGTGTTTGCAATGACGAAACACATGTTGTGAGAGTGAACCTAAAGTGATGTGAACAAACTTAGGCAGATCAGGAATTGGCAACAGATATCGTCATTGAGGTTATCATTTAGTAAATTGTATCATGTATAGGAAGTATCTTCTTTCGTGATAGAATGCAATTGTGATAAAAGTGTAATGAGTAATATGGTTGTTCATAATTATAACTTTTAAGCATATCTTTTTGTTTTCAACGTTTATCATAATTGCCGTTTTTCAGACCGCTTCGTTATGGCTTGTCATTTGCTTGCTATCGTGTGCAGCTCCTGTTCGTTTTTGTCCCCCATCGACTGACACAATAATTGTCTTGTGTTCCTATTGTATATGTCATAGGTATTGTCTGCGAAGTTTTGTTTGCTCACACTTTCCAAGTAAAGTTGAAAGCGCGTATGCATTCGCTCTGTCTTTCTCGGTCTGTCTGTGTAGGCAGTTCCCGATAACTCCCGTAAAGATGATCCAGTATGAATTACATTTTAGTCAAAAGTTGTGTTGCTATACGAGACTTAATATCTATAAAACTAGCCATATTTATTAAAGGGTTACCCTACGCTTGCCAATAATTTAACCAGATATAATGGGTAAGCCTTTTCGGCCAAGAAGATGACGTGGGCACGATCGCGTCCAGACGACGTGATGTGTGACGTCACCTGGCGATGTAATACTTCGTATAACATCTCCTTTTGTGTTTTGGAAAGGTAATGTTCACAGTCCTTTGTAAATCCACGGTTATCAATCCACTGCTAGATGAATGCCTGCCCATGCCGTGCCAGTCTAGGGGGTTGTTTGACTATACTTCGCCACACTGGTCAGTGTAAGGTGGTGAAGGTGGTGGCTCAACTCTAGTTAGGATGGCACTTGCCACTGATCTTAGCTGTGGCCGGGAATTGAACCTTTGTTGCCGGGTTTATCGCTTAACGATGTAACCGCTTCGCCACGACTCCCACCACCACGTGAATCATTTTGTAGTATCATTAGGTGTTAGGCCATTCCTATTTGTAGTTTTAAACCGCTTGCTGGAATTATTTTAAAGTAATTTAATAAATAACTATTCATAGTCTTAAATATGTCAAACCCATTGTGAAATGTACAGTTTTTTTAATATTCTGTTTCGTGACCTTTTTATTTTCTCTCAACAGGACATGGACTGCCTGCCACTAAAGAGTAATGTGATTCTGTCCAGTCAGTGTCCCTCATAGTTTATATAGGTCAATCAAGCAGCGTTAGTGCAGCTGTGATACAGCGCAGTAAGTACTGCATAAAACTGTGATTTTGACGGCGGCTCGGAGGAAGAACTTTACATTGATAAGGAAAAGGAAGTCAGTGTCTGTCTGTGATCGGAGCTTGTTTCTGACAGTGAAACAGCCTTGGGTTCCTCAGCGTCCATGGTTCGTCCAGACTCAAGACTCGAAGCCGACGTATTTTTTTTCTCCTATTTCCCACACCCTCTTCCACCTCCCGCCTTCCCCCACCCTCTGCTTTTTAAACCAACACGTGGGTGGCTGCCCGGCGGCCCAGCGAGTGCGATGAGAGCGCGTGTGCTTCCCAGGTTTGAGTGCGGATGAGAAGGAAGGCTCAGCCGTTGGTGACGGTTCCCCATTGGGAGCCCTGGCTGGTCCAACCCCACCCAAGACCCCCCTTGACTCCGACGCATCAAACTCCATCTGCCAGGATCCAAAGTTTTTGTGAAGTGTTAAAAAAATAACTTTGTTGGTGTTATTCCCCCCTCCTCTGTTTTTGTTGTTGTTCCCCCTGGCTGTGTTTGTGTGTCCACTTCTTGCAGAAATGCTGAATGAAATGAACCAGCAACGGCATGACAGAGAGTTCACTGACGTGAAACTTATAGTTCAGGGTGGACTGTCCGTGGATGCTCACCGTAACGTTCTAGCCTCCTGCTCTCCTTATTTCAAGGAACTGATCAAAAGGTTTGCCGAACGCAATCGTTTCTCCCACCACCTCCTTCCCTACCCGCTACTCTCCCGTTCCTTTCGAAAATATAAAAAAAAAACTACCAACAAGTCATCGATCTTCTCCTGTTCATACTACCCTTTCCCAGTTAATCTACATTTGTTTTCCTTCGTTTCTCTCTCATCATTCATTGTGCTATGATTGATTTATAATTTTGCTCCGCAGAGTGTTGTGTGGAATGTCCCGTCCACTTGTCTTTCTTTGACGTCCGTTGTTCACAGGGTATTATTTTTCATTCAGAACAAGTGATACACTGGAAGAAAACAAATCTGCGACGAGATATATTCAAATTACCAATAACATAATTAGTACAGTAGTTGAGTACTTTTCGTCTGATGTTCTGTCGGCTTTTCCATTTTGTCGTCGGGTTTCTCTCTGCCTGTATGTGTTTGCAAGCCTTTCCACTTCCCTGTGCCAAGACATTTGCTTGCAGATCCTTCCAAGGTGGAATTATTCAAAACAGTTTGTTGAGCCGAATAATTATTGATTTTAATTTGCCGATGGCCACCACCACCACCAATCTTGCCCCCTTTCCGCAGAAGCTGGGTTAAGAGTACGGTTCCGAATAAGTCCACAAGACAATAACGATCGCTTTTAATCCCAAGGAAGAACACGGCAACGATGCGAGGTCACCAGATGTGTTTCCGGCAAACTGGGGGCGTTCGTGACATAGCACCTGTCCTAGCAGGTGCTATGGTTTGGCTCCGTTTGTTCGAGATTGTTGATTGACGGTGGCAGTGAATGGATGTTGGTTCTTTATAGGAGAGAGAGCTGGCAGTTGCTGAGTGAATGGAACAATGAACACAGTGATTGTTTGCCTACACTTGTCTGCTGCATTTTAACATTTTATACAGATGCCACGCTGCCCAGGAGACCCAACGTGTACCATGTGCTTTTTTGAGCGTTCATGATTGTAGGTATACGAGCTGCAAACGGACCCCGCATCAGCATTTAAAAGTGTTTGGTTTTGTGTGAATGCGCTTCCGTTCCAACGGTCAGCGGCTACAGCTCGAATTTCCCTGTGTGCCCGTTCAGAACAACACGTGCTAGTGGATGGAGAATGGCCCAGGATGCTAGTAGTGACGATTAGCACGGCGGAATGACGGAGAATCTTGCCTGCCCCGCCATCGTCTCACCGACCGCCACTTAAGCGCGTAACCGTCTTCCCCCTGGCGCTGCTTTGCCAATGCAGAACGCAGCTGGAACAGTCGGGCACCTTCGTCCCGACCAGCGGGACCGGCATGGGCGGTGTCCCCCCCCCCTCTGGTCCAGAGTTGCGGGCCCTCGAGCTGCATGTCGAGGGCGTGAGTGCCCAGGTGATGGAGATGCTGCTGGAGTTTATTTACACGGGCCGCTGCGTGTCAGAGAGCATCGCTCACGCCCGCCCCCTGGCAGAGGCCGCCCGCACGCTGCAGATAGCCTCCTTCTGCCGCGTCTGCACTGCCTACCTAGGTACGACCGCCGTTAGATAAACTTCAACATAGAGTTGTCCTGCTGTTTGGGGCTTCCCGTTTTTAAAACTGTCCAAATTGATCCAAGGGTCACCAAAAACTTGCAGACAAATCGGAGCCAAAAAAGGGCTATATGCAAATATGCAAGTTGCATTTTGCGCCGACAGTTTCACATTAGCATTCATAAAGGGTAAAAGTTCAGCCTTGCAATCACTTGCTCACGTGACTACTGACGGAAGGTGCTTCCACTAGAGAGCGCTCTTAGAAAGTCTTTGTCCCACTCTTCTACGCTGGCCGGATGTCTTATTGGCATCCGTATACGTCTTATTAAAAACATTCTGAGGGTGAAAGCACGTTGGACAGCGTCGCATTATCAAGCATGCGTATGCATCGATTTTTTTACTTTTTTGTTTTCACTTCACATCATTGTGAACGACACAGAGAAGCAGCTGAGCGTGAGCAACTGCCTGGGTGTTTACGCCATGGCGGAAGCGCTGGGCAGTGCCGACCTGGAGAGACGGGCGCGTGCCTTCGTTCTCACCAACTTCCCCGAGCTGGCGATGCGCGAGGAGGTGCTGAGCGTATCGTGCGCCCAGCTGGTGTCGCTGCTCGCCAACGACGACCTCAACGCCAAGACGGAGGAGCTCGTGTACGACCTGGCCATCCGTTGGGTGCGCAAGGACATCTGCGCCCGCTTGCAGGTGCCCGCCCGTTTACCCCGTGGTGGAGGCCGCGTTCGGAAGCGTCCGCTCTGTTGTTTTGTGCTCTCATGCGTATCGTTACCGGCACATGCCGTGATGGGTACTGCAAGATCCGACCGTGTCCGTCCCATGCTCGCCAAGCTGCATTGACTTCCGGTTGCCGAACGAATGCATACGCAGAGCAGGTGCGTGGTAAAATGCTGTCCCCGATTATGTAAATCAATAGCAGCTTGAAGGGGTCTCAGAGGCATCTCCGTGATATTAACTTCCTTGGGCCATTCTTTCTAACACAAACGGTTACACTGCTCGTGGCACGACGCTGATAAAAATTTCCGAAACTTGACCGCATCATAAATATCCAGAGACGGCGTGGAGACATTAAGTCCTGGCCTCCTTTGACGCACGTTTTTGCCAAACGACATCACATTTATCCCTCTATTTAACTATGAAACCAGAGGATTTCTCCACAAATATGGCTGTCACCTGATGATGCTAGTCGTAACTACTGGCGAAACGTCATACTCGGATTATAAATGGTGTGGCTTTACTCTCCAACACACCTGTGTGCTGTACTAGTAAATTATTGGCATGCTTTGTTTATATGGCCAACCTTACTAATTGGCTGTGTCGGGTGGTGGCGGGTTTAACGACACGTATTTACGCGATCTCACCCAAATAAAACTCTTAATACGGAACGAAATCTGTGCGCAGCACGCCGCCGAGGTGCTGTCGGTGGTGCGGCTGCCGTTCCTGCACCCGAGCTTCCTGCTGAACACGGTGGACAACGAGGACATTGTGCGCTCCTCCGAGGCTTGCCGCGAGCTCGTAAACGAGGCTAAGCGCTACCACATGTTGCCGAATTCGCGCCAGGACATGCAGACTGCGCGTACACGGCCACGCGCCGCTACGGGTACGGCCTATGTCGCTGCCTCCCCCTCCTTCCCTACCACGCACCCCCTCCCCTCCATCATCGTCACCACCACCCATCCACCACCCCATTGCCCGGCCTTCCCTGTCATCCACTCGCGTGTAACTTTATAGGGAGACGCAGCCCAAAACGAGGAAGAAAAATGCATATAAGCGTTTAATCCATGAAAGTTTTTAATTGGCAAAAAGAATGTTCAGGATATCGCAGATAATGTGGAGGGGAACCATTCGCTCGTCGCTGGACTGGTAAGCACAGTGCGTGGACCGCTACAGCACCAACCTGCACTAACCAGCAACCGGTAACAACCCGTACGGCCAACACGGTGTGGGGAGGTCGTCATCCAGCCGATCTCTAACACAGCACTGACATTACGCGGGAAATGGCACAATCGTGATAAAAGTCGCCACCTTAGACAACGGTGGTGCCAGTGTGCTCGTTGCTCCTGATGCCCCGACCCATTCGGCTACCTTGCTTGCTCATTCCCTAATCCATTTAATTGGAAAAGTTCAGCGCTTGGGTAATTGGGCAAAGTCACGAAACGGAAGTGTCAGAAACACCGTGTGTGTGCGTACGCGCGTGTGTGGTAGCGCAGCGGTTAGAGCGCTGCACTACTTACCCGGCAACCCGAGTTTGGTTCCTGCTCACGGCCAACACCAGTGACGATTATCTGAACTGGTCCTGGGCATCCCCGAGGTCGACTCTGGAGACAAAGGCGGTCGGGCGTGGCGCTGGCCAACCACCCCCTCGAGTACCGCTCCGGCCTTCATAGGTGCACACTAACAGCACTTGCCCCAACAGTCTGTGAAGGCTATACATGAGATCTTTGTCTTTGTGCGTTGCAGGCGTGTCGGAGGTGATCGTGCTGGTGGGCGGGCGACGCTTTGACGGCGCCAGCCACCGCAGCCTCACGGCCGTCACCTGCTACAATCCGGCGGTTGACAAGTGGTTCCCGCTCGCCAGCCTGCCCTTCTTTGAGCGCGACCACTACTGCGTCGTCAGCGCCGGCGACAATATCTACCTGACTGGTCAGCATCCTCATGCGTCACCCGTGGCGAACACAACGCTAGTGCCGATGCATCAAGTTGCTCGACCTCTTATGTTCTTTAGACTGAAAGCCTTGGTCAGGAATCCAACCCAGGTCATCGGGCTTGTTAGCACAGTGCCGTGAACACCTACACCACCAACCCACGCTGATCAGCGTGGTGAAGTATGGTCATACAACCCCCATGACCAACACATCAGCGGGTTGACAAAGGGGCGGTACATCCATTTTTTTAAATGTATGTGTTCATGTAAAATAATCTCTTATTACAATTAGAATTGATTGTGATGATGCTGGTGGAGGTGACAGTGTGGGGAGCGGTGGTGTAGCGGTGAGCGTGCCGCGCTACGAACCTGGTAACCCGAGTTCGATTCCCGCTCATGGCCAACACCAGTGACGAATTTCTGAACCGGTCCTGGGTCTCCCCTAGGTCTACTTAGCCTCAAATGAGTACCCGGTGCGGTGTGTAAACATCGCCACTAGGGAGACAAAGGCGGCAGGGCGTAATGCTGGCCACCCACCCCCTCCGACTTTGGAATTCCCTTCGTTGTGCCGTGTCAGCCTTCATAGGTTTGAGGAAGGCAAGGGGAAGCAATCTCAAACGCTCCTTCCCTAGGCAAGGCAGGTCCACGGCAAGAGACGTGGACCTGCGAGCGAATAAGTAAGTCTCCTCTTTGTTTGAACGAGTGGAATTGACGTCATTGACAGGCGGCATCGAGAACGGCGTGACGCTGGGCGAGGTATGGTGCTACTCGGTGATGAGCGACAGCTGGGGCCTGGTGTCCCGCATGGCGATGGCTCGAGGTCGGCACAGCGGCCTGGTGTACGATGGCAAGCTCTACTCGCTGGGCGGCGTGGGCAGCTCCAGCACACTCACGCACTGCGAGAGGTCAATGCTCCTTTGTTGTTGTTACAACTACTAAATTTCGATTAAAAGCTTTCATGACTGCAGGGATTCATATTCTTGGTTCTTTCGGTAAAGTCACGTAGAAGGGAAATAATAAAATAAATGTTATTATGTATTTTTATTATTTCCCTTCTTCGTCACTTTACCGAAAGAACCAAGAAGGTTACAACTACTGTTACTACTACTACTGGTTTAATCATCAGGGTTGCCACGATTTAATGTTTCACCATTCGATAGGAAATGATATCGAATTTCTCGATATGACGATCATAATGATATGTTTCCTATAAAATTTTAACGGATTATTTGGTAATACTATGCTGACAGTTATGCACAAGCACAACAAAAAAATAACCTCATGTGCCAGTAAGAAGGACCGTTTCCCAAAACTATTTTCATGAGGCATGTGAAGTTAGTAGTGTTATTGCATTTTTATCATTGGTTCTGTGCTTTCGCTGTACTTCTGGTACGGATACATATTTTCGAAAAGTTAATCGGCTGGTTCACTTGGCCATGACAATGTTTTATTTTTGTTGTTTCGCTTACTCCACCGTCTCCAGGCTGGACACGGTGACGAACCAGTGGGAGGCCTTGTCACCGATGCCCAGGGCCGTCCACTCGGCTGCGGCCGCCACCTACGGGGGGCGACTCTACATGTTCGGCGGCATCAACGACGCGGGCCGCTCGGCCAACGTCATGCAGTCCTTCCTGCCGCACATCAACTCCTGGAGCTTCATTGAGACGCCCATGATTGGTGAGGGACGCGTCCCGAGAACGCGCGGGACGCGACAGCACGCCAAGGGGGTGCTTGCTACTCGCCGCATCTGACTGTGTTTTTTTTTAACGTATGTACGTACGGAGAACTTGCTTTCGCACCGTACGTAGCTAACCGTGCTAATCGGAGGAGGTGCGGCCAATTGGAGGTGCGATTAGCCTAGCGTATGTAAATTTGTCCCATCCTTACCGCATTCAACCACCGCACGCACTGCAGGTCCAAAACACTTCTGTTACCGCCCGACTTCGGAATCCCCTTCCCGTCATATCGTGCCTCCCACCAAGTTAAAAGGTAAAGTTACACATTTGTCCATACGTGGGAAGCCACCGACGAGTGAAGGCAAGCGCGAACCGACGCTTACAACACATTTTTATTTTCCTTTATATTCATTTAACCTTGCTCAATTCGAGAAATGTATTAACCCTTATCCATTGCAACTTTAATAGTGCTGCGTTTGGACCTTTGAGCCTCTGCTCGGTAACCATAATACAAAGAAAAAAACGTGCACACACGTACAAACTTTTTTTGTCAGTCCACTGTAGGATGAAGGCCTCCCCCACACCCTGTGAGTTATGAGGGTTATTTTGATATCCTTCACCTCGCACGTCAGCATGGGTTGATGAAGGTGGGAAAAGTGATTTGTCTGTACTGTCCTCTGCTGTCCGCAATTGCCGACAACAGCAATTTTTTGTGCATGGTGGGCCCTCATCCAAGTGCTACCAGGCTCAGCGCAGCTTAGCTTCCTGGGGTCTGATTGGATCGGGTGGCATTCTTGGCAATTTTAAAAGGGGCATAAAATGTGTACTTGCTATTAACAAGGTTGCCAATGAAAGGAAAATGTATTATCACATTCTCAATTATATTATATATTTGTTTATTGCGATATTCTTCCTCTGTAACCCAGGTGCGAACCTGATAATACAACCTGTCTTTCGTTAAACGGATGTGTGAATTCACACCCTTATCTGCTCATGCAACGTAACAGGTATTGAACAACATAGCTTAAATTTGAAAAAAAACGCCACTTTTTTCAAATTTTCTTGCTGTGGTTTTCACACCTGATGATGATTGCTTGTGTTGCAGTCGAAACGTCGTGAGAATTGGATTGTTTTATATGTTTTATTTTATTGTTTCCCTTCTACGTGACTTTACCGAAAGAACCAAGAATATAGCTCAAGTTCTTGTCTAGAACTGCTATTTATGTCATTTGTTACCTTAACACTTTCCTTTTCACATCATTATGATTCATAATTCATTTTTGGGTAAAGCCACCGACAACCAAACAAATGTGTCACATGTACAAGCGTTGCATGCACCAATTGTTATTGATTGAGCTCATCAGTAAGTTTGAGCAATATCTTACAACGAATTTTAGCTATAAGGTATGATGTTTCGCTTGAAATTACGTCAAACATCTTCAGGACAAGATCCAGGAATAAAAAAAAAAATAACCACAGCATTATTTGATGTTGAATCCTATTTTAAGTTGTCCGCTCAACCTTCAGCTATTTAAACCCCTAAACCCTTGTGTCCCGTGCAGACAACAAATATGCGCCAGCTGTGGTGTTCAACGGGCTGATTTACATCCTTGGGGGGGCGTTCTCGCGCACCACCACCATCTACGACCCCGAGAAGGAGAACATCAAGTCGGGTCCCACGCTCAACTACACTCGGCAGTGCTGCGGGTGCGTTTCCGCGGCAACCACCACCCACGATTCTCGCCGCCCTGACCCGGGAGATGGTCCAGACGGCAGGATTGGTCACCGAAGCGATGGAGTTAGGTGTGAAGGTTTCCCGTCGACAGGGTGGGGCCGCAAGTAGGCTGTCGTCATCTGCCCCCCGAGTGGAAAGTGGGCAGGGGGGGGGGGGGCTTTGTAGAGTTAGGCTCGGTTGGATGGCTGTTACTATTGGCTGGATGGATAATTGACTAGGTTAAGGGTTCGGTGGTTAAGGTTATTAAGATCATTGGTAGAGCTGGTGATGGTGGCTGGTTGGCTAGTTCATTCGGGTTATAAGCAGGGCAAGCATTTGGTTAGCTTGTGTGTTCCCATCACAAACACTATTTTTCTATGCTCTCCTACCATTGCAATGTGTATGGCCTTTTCAGTTTGTGGCCATTTTTGGTTCCTAACCTGTGGATCATGGGCCACTCACTTGTGTTCCTCCGCAAGGCCTTGGGGAAGTGGTCTCCGGAACTGTTGCAGATACTCTGTTTGATATTTTATAATTTGCCCATTCCACAGCTATTTAGATTAATCGATAAAGAGCAAATTAATACTTTTTACGGCATGTCGTAGTGCTTACGGGTAAGTTTTAATTTTGAAAAACTATGTTTTTTGGTGAATGGAAGTAAGCGAAAAAATGCTGAGCGTTGATAGTGCACCGCGGGTCCAGAAAAGGTTGGGAACCACTGCTGTAGACTGTGTTTGGCCTAGACTTCCACGCTAGCCAGACGTCTTGGAAAAGGCGGCAGTACCCACACTTTACTCCAAAACACACAACCTGCCCACCTGCGGTGTAATCATTTACACTGCCGGGTGGAGAGATGCAGGGAGAGTTCAGAAACTTTGCCCCATTGTTTCAACTGCCACGGTGTGGAGATCAGATCGAACCAGCGACCCGTGTATTGCAAGTCTTGGAGCGTTCACCGCAATGTGATGTTTCTTTTTGTTTATCCCCAGGGCGGTCGTGCGCGGAAACAGGATCTACGCGACGGGGGGCCTCGTGAGCCCCGAGGGCCCCGCGCTGGGCAACCTGGAGGTGCTGGACCTGGAGAAGAACACCTGGACGCTGCAGTCCGGGCTGCCCTGCGCCCTCTACCGCCACGGCTGCGTCCTCATCAAAAAGTCCTTCTCAAACAATTGACGTGCGTTGCCAAACGCACCACGTGCGGCTTCATAGCCCCGGCCTCCCAAGGCTCCCTGACGTTCCGGGACGACGTCGGCGGTGGCACGTTTGCCGCACGAGTTCGCCACCCTGGTTAATTACTGCGGGTGTATTTAACTGTCAAAATATGCGCCGCCTGCTTTCCGTTGGACGTTAAAATATCCCGTCATATTTGGAACGGTAGGCCGTGTTTGCTGAAGTCGTCGTCCAAATTGGACAAATTCGATAAATTGCTCGCAGATTCCTTCATTGGGATGCCCACAAAACAACATTGCCCCTCTAATTGCAGACCAATGCCCGCTAACTAGCCGGTGCCTATTTAATGGCTGCATATCAAGCATCAGGAAAATCCGCCCTCATTTATGCCGCCAAATTTTTGGTTCATTCTCTGATCTTCTTAACCATCTGCAATTATCTTTTTCTTAGTATCCCTGCCTCTGCCCCCCACTCACGAATTGAGAATGCTTCTGCACGAGTTGGTCTCAATCTCCCCTTTAACAAGCACACTTCGCCTCTCCTCCAACTCCACTGGCTTTCCCATTCACTACACCGCTGTCTTTTCAAATACCCGATGCTCGTCTTTAAAGCTCTTCTATGGCCTTGCCCCACCTCATCTCGCTGCTCTCATCTCCTTTCACGACCCCTCCTTCTCGTCCCCTTCGTTCACAATCTTCTCTCGGTCTCCTCTTCCTTCTCCCCTGTGCCCAATCCTGTTCTTCGGTCTTTATTCCTCCTTGCACCCCCTCACTGGAATAAACTTCCCCTCTGCATTAAGTTGGTCTGAGCGAAGACGTTAATGGCCTTGGCAGTGGGTTAGGCAGTGTGTGTCACACACACTGGTTGTACAATGTATATTTTTTGTGATTGAAAGCGTCGTGTTCTGCTTTCACGCAGAAACCGTTGATGTTGATATATAATGCACACTGTGAGGAGTGTGCATTTTACACGTGGCCCTATTCTCCAGATTATAATACACTCCGGAAATGAACACGTACTCCAAACTTGTGCCCGGTGTTAATGAAGGTATGCTGGCCTGGTCAAACATGCCTACAGGATTGTAAGACCGCATCCGCTAACTTGCTTTAAAATACAGGGGGCGGTGGCAAGGTGGAAGTGCGTTTTATAATCTGGGAATATGGAAATTGTGCTTTTTGTTTTGTAGTGCCGTATTTACCTAAACTTTAATTTGTTTTCCATAATCCACTCTTATACGGGTATAGATGAATGTTCTGCAAAACTATTATTCAGCCCATAGATATAGTGTTGCATACAATGTGTGTATATATGTACTTCAGCATTTTTGTAGTGTCGCCATACCATGTATTTGCATTTCAATTGGAAATCATATTTCGCTTTAATGGCTTTCATCGGACTTTGTTTTAGGCACATGCTTTTAAGGTACAGATGCCTTTTCCACCTGGTATATAATGAGTGTACGCAGTGCAACCACGTTTGTATGTTGAACGGCTTTCGCACTGTACGTAGTCAACCGCGCTAATTGAAGGCTGAATGCATATGTCTGCGTAACTGCCCGAGATCTCGTTTGCGTGGTCCCACCCTGGGGAAGTCAATTACACACAGTGGCACTGCTGGTCCCCCCCGCTAAGGGGAAATTGGGCCAGTGGCACTGGTATGTACACGTACTACCCGCTTGTCAATCCGCTGCTGGATGAGGGCCTCCCCGCACTGTGCGGGCCATGGAAGTAATTTGACCATATTCCACCATGCTGGCCACTGCGGGTTGGTGAAGGCAGGCAGTGGGTGCGGTAGCGGAAAGATTTTCAGTTGTTGGCCAGCTCTCAGAGCATTGAAGTAAAGTACAGCAATGGCTTTTGCTACACTGCCCTCTGCTGCCCACAATGTACCTCTGTAGCTTGTCAACCTGTGTGTGATGGCCACTCATCCAAGTACTTTGTAGGGTCAACCATGATTGGCTTAGATTTTACAAGGCCGGACACATTCTTGGTGAAAATGGCCATAGGCTATTTGGTTTTAGGCAGTTTGATATTAAGAGCTAGAAATTCCTCATTTATACCCCCCTAATAGTCCCATCCCCTACTGGTGCGACGATTTATGTTTGTTACTTGAGTAACGAACAACTGCATTAATCGATTTTGCATTGCTTAAGGGACATATTTGCTGTACAGTTTAAATGAATACACGTGCATGTAGTCTGTAACACAAGCACCAACTTTTGATTTAAAGCTTTCGTGACTGCACGGATTCATATTACTGGTTCTTTCGTGGCAGATCACTGTTATAATTCAGTAGGTTCACGTGACATTGACTTCTCCAAGACAGGTTCTTTGCAAGCCATCTGGCTACCATGAGAGATTCGTTCATGATTGCTTGTGTTGCAGTCGAAACGTCGTGAGAATTGTATTGTTTTATATTTTTATTATTTTATTGTTTCCCTTCTACGTGACTTTACCGAAAGAACCAAGAATACAAGCACCAACGTTCCTAATATTGACGGTATCGAGGGGCACCTGGGCCAGATCCTTTAATTTGCCCGGCTGAGGCAGTGGGTGCGGTAGCAGAAAGATTTTCAATTGTTGGCCAGCTCTCAGATCCAGTTAAGAATGCGGTCTGGTCAGTCCCCCCATACTCAGGTGCCCCTAAATACAAATAAAGACATCTCCCGTTTTTAGTTCAAGGACTTTTGTAAATATTGCTGTTATTGTTTTAATGCACATATTTTGTTCCTGCCGTCAACTGTGTACATGCGTCCCGTTAATAAAATGCAATAATTACACGTCTCATGGCTACTTGTATCAGGGGTATTTAAAAAAAGAGTACTTTGTACGTATTTTCTTATTGACGGTATTTATTAAACCAAAGCCATGTAACAGGAATAATTTATACAATTGAAAGGAAGAAGTGCTGTGTAGCTATTCGTAATTTTGCGACGATGCTGCAACAAGTGCAGCTTTAAAGTATAGGCAATGGCCTACCACTGGGTTACCAATGTTGAGCCCTATTTGTTTTTTGGGTGAGACCACGTAGTGACTGTGTTTGCCGAAATTCTTGTCTACTACCTGACAATTGTCACGTCTACAAAGATATTAATACGTGATTTAAAGCTTTCGTGACTGCAGGGATTCATTTTCTTGGTTCTTTCGGTAAAGTCACGTAGAAGGGAAACAATAAAATAATAAAAATATAAAACAATAAAATTATCACGAAGTTTCGACTGCAACACAAGCAATCATCATCAGGTGTGAAAACCACAGCAAGAAAATTTGTTTCCCTTCTATGTGACTTTACCGAAAGAACCAAGAATATATATTGATACGTGTCAATGCATTGAGAAAAGTATTATCAATAAAGCTCCACTGGTGGCTTCAGACTTAACGTATGACGATGTTTGATTCAAACCAAGGCTGGCACGGCCCGGTTTTATTCATTCGGGTTTTAATCGTTTTTTATATAAAACCGGAGCACCTGGATCCTGCCCAAATCCGGTTTTATTAAAGTTAAGTCGGGATTTCAGTCGCACCCACCCATTAGCGGCGTTCGGGCCGGGGCCCGGGCTCAGCCGCCATGCACGTGAGTCACGCGGTGCGTTCGGCCCTCGCCCAGACTTTCGTCAGTTCGTCACTCGTCGGAAGCGACTATCCCGCGCTCGAGAAGATCGCCATCAAACTGTTCAGCATGGCCACGTCGATCGCTGCGTCTGAGCGAAACTTCTCGACGATGGGATTCATCCATTCCAAGTTGAGGAACGGCCTGGTGCCCAGCACAGTCGAGAAGCTCGTCTTCATCAAGTCGAACCTCAACGCGTTCCACGACTACCTGACGCCCGACGACGGCGACAACACCGAGTCCAGCAGTGAGAGCGACGACGAAGACGACGCGGTGGCGGCGGACGACGACGAGGAGCAGGATTGAAGTGTGCCCGAGACGCCGATAATAAAACCAGGTTTTAATCGGCAAAATCGGGTTCAATTACATTAAAACCAATAACCCGATTTGTCGGGCAAAAAAATCGGGTTTTTCCCACCCTTGATTCAAACTGATTCGAGCTTCATCGGGTAATGAACTCGGAATTAAAGGATGGGGTTTAACCCAAATGACATGGATCATAATGGCTACGAAAACCTACATTTTAAGTGCTGTCGCTATGGCCATGTGTTTATTGTTATAGATGATGCAATGTGGCGAAGGGTTACCCTTTGTGAGAATGATGGTGCATATGTAGTAGTCGTGTATGGAGACGGAGTCGTAGTAGGAAGCAACACGTTTTATTTATATATTTAACAACACTCACCAGGACTTAACATGAAGGGGTAATTGCCCCTTCCACCCACAACCTGTGGAGGCACAGCCTCCGGGCTATCTATCCTAGCCACTGACCTACTCCTATAGCCCTCCGGCTGGCTGGAGCGAAGGAGGCTGACCCACCGCTGGCACCGGTGGTTCTCTGACCACTGGCCCTTCCAGACCCGGCCCTCAGAAGGACGTCGGGGCTTGGGTCCCAGGGTCTCGTCTCCAGGTGGCTCCTCGACTTCGACTTCAGGCGAACTGAGCTCTGCTCTCAGGAGCCCGCCTTTTATACGATTTCCCACCGAGGGGCGGGGTTCTGAGGGATCACAGATCCCTCACAGCCCCCTCCCCTCAGGAGGGGTTCTGGCCACAGGTAATCCAACCGATCTCTGTTTATCCCGCTTTCTGCCTAGGGGCAGGGTTCTGGGGGATCTTACCCACACTCCACAGCCTCCACCCCTCAGGCGGGGTCTTGGTCAGGGTTATCAATGGCCCCGCTCTGGTAGGGTACTGTGTAGCGTGTGTGTGTTTACAGAGTGACCACCACACATACACAGACGAGGGTTGCCACCTGTCCTGGCTTTCCAAGACACCACTCAAGACAATGCTTTCACGTGTAGTTTTTCCGATATTCGTGGTCGTCTTCTGCTTCACATTATATGTCCTGGCTTCTTCGTAGCCCAGTTCAGGCGTTCCTTACGCCTCGGAACTCGCGTCCTCTGCGTTGCGTGCCGTGACCTTCCCGTGCCAGACCTGTCTCCTGCCCTCCCGCACCACAACCTCTGCGCCCGGGTCAAAGGTCAGCGGGATTAAGTTGTTCTCATCCCCACCAAGGATCATCCACCTCTCGCCTGTTGAATGCGCAGCAAGGGTAGGGGAGCAGAGTTCCACACGCAAACACAACGGGGTTTGTCGTTGGGTTACTGATGCATTGATTCACCATACGGTACACGTAAAATGTTTGCGTGTTACGATTGTTAGCAGCTCTCGGTTATCCATGTGCAGCTGTCCCCCCCCCCCCCCGCCCTACCCCCCGAGTTCGGAAAACCGGACTTGCAATAAAAAATTGTTGGGTGGGATCAAATGCATATGTGCTGTATGTATTGAAGTATAAACTATATTAAATTAGACTTTTTATTTTACCAGGTAAGGCCCACTGAGCTATGCAACTCTTTCAGAAGCGACCTGGCCACAAATGATAGATAGCTCAACGAAGTGGCTTATCACGTGGGAATTTATAGCAGCTAAATATTCTTAAACTACAGAGAACTACTCGCAGGTACCTCTAAAGGGTGCTTATCTGCACCTCAATCTGATTTAGGCTGATATGACATGATTTCTGTTTGTACCAGCACCAAGAAGGCATTTTCATCCCAACATGTCACTTCTATTATAGGTAGGCAGTATGTGTTACATATTGAATTTCACATGTTTTTAGTTTTATCCAAGCCATCTATCCTCACCAATTACTACCGGATAATTGAGAGCTGACTTTCACCATTGATGGAAATGTTACATGACGGCTCACGCAAAGACAAAGATCCCCCGTATAGCCTGAACTGACTGGACAATTGCTGTGAGCGAGCACCTATTAGGCCGGCACTGCACACGCGCCCGGTCGCCTTTGTCGAACGAGTGGCTGTGTTTACACACTGCCACCAAGGAACTAATTTAAGGTTGAGTCGACCTAGGGGAGGCCCAGGACCGAGGTCAGATAATCGTCACGAGTGCTGGCGGCCATAGTGCCGTGCAAACCGCTCCCCAAAATAAAGCCACACACGAGGCAAAATTTTAATCCAATTGAACGAAAAATAAATTATATGAAAACTGATTCTTGAATTGTGAGGTCGAATCGTGACAATTGGATCACCGAATGGGGTCATTTATCACGGAGCACCAAGACATGCTGTAAAAAAAACTCCATGCAGTGATTGCATTTTATTTACATGTTCAATACAATACATGTAATTCGCCAAATCCAATTATGGATGAAGGCCTCCTAAACCACGCCTTACAGTCCGTGAGGACTATTTGACCATACTTCACCACGCAGGTCTGTGCGGGTTGATGAAGGTGGGCTGGGAGGGGGGAGGGGTGCATCATAACCACAGTAGATCTTGCTGCGCTGCCCTCAACTACCCACAATGCCCATTGCGCACGGTGGTCAGTTTTGTTGAAATGGTGCGGAGGCCTGGACATTGCTTCAAGCTGAGTTGGACCGGCTGCAGTCCTTCCGCACGCGATGCCTAATACGACGGCCTCCTTGTCATCCGATGGTTCGACTTCATCGGAAATGTCACCGTTGCGTCTGCGACCGGTCTCCTAGCGATTGAGAGCTTAGTTCGAGTTCGAGAGGGATGACGACTGTGGCCGTCGCTTTGTGGACTTTGTGTCGCTGCGTCTCGATGCGCAAACTCCAGCAGCAAATTGCACGCTCGCTTCGGTTGGCGGTCGACGTTTCGAAGTGGACTGCGACCCTCAAAAGAATGGTGCCACTCCCGTGGTCGCCCCCGCCGCCCTCCCCACCCCTCCGTGATCCGTGGATCAAACAAATCACTCGAGACGCCGGTGCATGGCAGCAAGAGCGGTTTACGCAAATGCTGTCGCAAGAGGTCACGCGTTGGGCACCGACTGTGCGTGATGAATGAATACATTTTGTTTAACCATTCACACCGAGTAGTGGAGGCACTATCACGGTGGTGCCAAAGTCACCGCACACTCAAGCGATCCCCGCAAATGAGGCATTCTTCAATGGATTTTTTCTTGCTGATTGCAATATATTTCATGGAGATCGTGCCGTATATATGTGTGGTGGGTTCACTGAGAGACACACTAACTCATGAGGCAACACGTTTATTCTATGGACCACAAAGGGATAACTATATAAACCGGTTCAGGACAGTCGGCACACTGCCTGACCCACTAATGAAGTCTTTGATAGAAAGCCTTGGCTGCTGGAGAAAATGGTACGTGTATGAGAGGAGAGTGAGATAAGGAATACAATAGATTGTCTCTATAATGATGATTAAGTGCTTGCTAACAATATTTACCCCAGCAGTTTATATGGCATTATGGAAGATCTTCGCAGTATTTCTGAACAATATAAATGAATAAATAATTAAGTGTATTTTCCAGTTCAGTGTCCCTACATCTCAAGAGAATCCCGCATCAGAGTTGCCCAATTATTTTTGATGCATTCGCTCTGCTTGTCTGTAACATGGGGGTCACAGTCACTCTTGAAAAGATTATCGAACATAAATGCAATTTTAGTCGACAATGTTCCTGCTTTTAGGCGACTGCAGAAAACTGGCTAAATTATTAAAAAGTTGCCTAAAGCTTGCCCTAAAATTACTTTGTAAAAAAATATAACGCATTTTGCCCTGACAGCAACGCAGAGGCGGATCTAGAAACTAGCCAAGATGGTCCCGAATTTTCAAGCTTTTTTAAATAGGGCCCTACATGAAGTGACTGTTGTTTGTAACTTGCTGACCCGTCCATACTGGACATCTGTGAAAAACAGCTTCACAGCTCATCGGATTCCTCCCAGTCTAAAGAAAGATTCATATTTTAATTTTTAAATCATTCAATGTATTTTCTTTGGTGAGTATCAATAAAATACCAAATTAATGGGGGTCTCTCAAGGTGGGGGTACCCCCATTTCCCCCGAGCCACTTGCGTCCTCCAGCTACCTGTGTGGGATTACGCATAAACGAAGTCTTTTGACAGCCTCTTTTGCATACAGAGAACTGGATGGTCTAATTTCGGAGAAAGCGCCAGAATTGTAGTGCTTATCGGCTTAGGGGGTTGTGTGGGATCTTGCCCCGGCATGCTGCCGCAGCTGAGCCGAAATTTTAAAGGAAAAATAATCTGAATTTTTTTTAAAGCGTCGTCTTGCATGAAAATTGCATCTCACAATCGCCGAAGGAACCAGTGACACGAGCTAAAAGGCTGGAGCCAAGCTATGAGCCGGCCCCACCAACAATTGCTCTGCAGTTCTCAATTTATGAAGATGTTGTCAGCCAATTAGCGGCGAGCGTTTATCATACATGCGGGAGGAAACCGGATCACCTGGAGACACACGCATGCGAGGAGGCAATCAGTCCACACTCTGCTGGACCTCATTCCGCTGGCAAGCCAGGTGATGGAACCCTCTCGATACCCCACGGGAAGGGAGTTTCGCAACATTTGTCCGATCCGTCGATCCACGTCTCCCGCAGTGCTGGATTACAGGCGTGCATAGCCACCACGGGACCGGCTGTCGATTCCTGTTCGCAGGACTCGCCTTGCTGTGCTCACTCGCGAGAGTCGAGTTGCACCGTGCGTGGCACATCCCTGCCTGGGTATGAGCGCCGTCTTGCTCTATGCTCACAGCGCGATCCCTTACGCGTCAAGCCCGCCGCTAATTTGGTCGGCGAGAGTCGCTGTGTTAAGGCGGCTGCAGTCAGAGGTGACCCTGTTGTTGTCACGGGTCAGTGTTGGAACCGGCACTATTGAGGTTTGATAGGTTTGCATCCAGGCAGCCGCCTATGCTTAAACCAGGTTCTCAAGTCTATTAAGGTCATGGTCCTCAGCCCGCTCACCAATGACTGCACACACAAAAAAGCCATCACTGTATATTATAACAGAAACATATATACGTGAACACGCAGGTTTTTGGCGGCCAATGTTATATTATTCATAATCCATTTTTTTCCTCTCGTTCGTACACGGAAACATTCCGGCCAGATTTGTGTCGTTAAAACCCTCCACCACCTCGTAGAGCCGAACAAATCAAATCGTCGAGTGTGCGAGCGTTTAACGCGCCATTTAACATTGTCGCAGGTGACCGGTAACTTGAACACCCATTCCTCACGTCCAGACCGAGCGATTGGAGACATGGTTGAGTTCTTTCCATCGGTTAATTCGTATCGCTTATACACCCACTTATGCAGAATGCGTGAACTATAACGATTTCGAGGCTCATCTCGTTACCTAGAGGTTTCGCATTCATTAAAGGCAGCTTCCGCATGTCCAGTCGAATGGCGGTAATTCCCCCGTCCTGTGCTTAATCAGATAAGAGCATATTAAGATCGCCTTGTGGAAAAGAGACTTGCGTAACCAGTTCATGAGGAATCGTCATTACGTCTACATTTTATGTATTACGTATGTTGAACCTCTTTCGCACCGTACGTAGTCAACCGGGTAAAGGACATTCAAAGTCACGTGTTTTTTTTTGTCAGTTGTGTATTCACACTGTAGTTCTCTCCTCTTCGAATATTAATCTTTCCATGATAGGTCACAATTTTTATTGTACCTCAGAGATGGCAATCTTATCTCCTATATGGGCCAACTAATGCAGTCTTAAGTTGAGTACCTGGTACGATTTGTAAACATCGCCACCGGGGAGAGAAATGCGGCCGGGCGTAGTGCTGACCACCCACTAGGGCTGAACGATTAATCGATTTCAAATCGAAATCGCAATTTCAAACAATGCGAGTAGCAAAATCGCAAAGGCTGCAATGTTTTGCGATTTGAAAAGTCCTATTACTTTCTTATTGGAGATGTTTTATTTTTATTACTATAACCTTATTTATTTAACTTAACAATTGTTCTATGTTTGATTATTCTTTTAATTATCATTTTTAAAAATAAATAAATGTTGGAAGCAATTCATATATTTTAAGTTATCATCCTTGCATTGCAATATATAGAGCAGTTCATATGTTGATGGTATCATGTGGTAATGCTCCATCACATGTTTTAAATCTATTACACAGTGACTATTGAACTGAAGCTTGACTTTAAAAAATGTCATCACAAATCAAATCGCAATAAAAAAAATCCCCAAATCGTTCAGCCCTACCACCCACCCGCTCGTGTGCCGCGCCGGCCTTCATAGGTGCTCGCTAACAGCACTCGTCCCAAGTCTGTTACAGGCTACACGGGGGATCTTTATCTCTGTGTCTGTATGGTGTTTTGTGGCACCCACCGGCTTGAATCTCGACGACACGGAGCGCGAACACTTCCTTGACCACGCCGAAGTGCAGGCGTCCTCCAGTGAGGAGGAAAATTCCCGTCTCGTTCCCATCCGATCCGCCCTGCACGCACGCAGATTCAACGTACGGCAATCAGGGTAACCGATGATCCAGTAATCAATCTACTCCAGCCACTCGCTCACCAGCGGTTAGTCGCCCCCTTATCACTCTTCTATCGCTGCTACCATGGTTACTGTTCCCACGAACATCACTCATTGATTCGTCCACCCATGTTAACGACTCAGTGTACCAGACACTGACGGGTTTGCGTCACCGCACTCCGTGTCACAGCACTTCCCTTTCTGTCTCTGTCCTAGCAGGGAAACTTGCTCAACGGGATAATCCTTGTACCAAATCAAATAAACTTACACTGCTCGATTTTGACATTCCCTCCCACCGTCTCTTTTCTAGAGTTCTTACAACCTTGGGCAATTCAAGAATCCTATTAACTCCTTCAATTCATTTACTCTTCAGTCGTGTCGTTTGTTGCTGGCCGCTTGGCCTCTCCCAATGACATAAGTGACAGGGGTATTGGTGTGTGTGCGCGCGTCAGAGTGTGGAGCGGTGGCGCAGTGGTTATCTCGATGAACCCTGCAACCCGAGTTCGATTCCTGCTCAAGGCCAACACGAGTGACGATTATCTGAGCCGACTGCGCCTCAAATGAGTACCTGTTGCAGTGTGTAAACATCGCCACTGGGAAGATAAAGCCGATCGAGAGTGTGATGGCCACCCACCCCGTCGTGTCAATTGCCGGCTTTCATCGGTGCTCGCTAACAGCACTCGCCCATAAAGACTGTTAAGGCTGTACTTTGTTATAGTGTGGCAAACAGTATGGGGCGCCACGCTCGCGAGATATTATCTACCTTGCCTGGTATGCAGGAGGTCGTGGGTTCTTTCCCGATCCCGACCCTGACGCTTGCTGTATGTTTGGATGTCTCCCCCTCCACGTTTAGAGTCAACGTGCGAGTATTTGGCTGCTATAAATTTCCACGCCATAAGCCACACTTCGTTGAGCTATCATTTGTGGCCAGGTCGCTTCTGAACAAGAACTTTAGCTCAGTGGGCCTTAACCTGGTAAAATTAAAGTTTAGTTTTAGAAAGCGTTCCCCAGCTCAGTGGCGGAGCCAGGATTTTCAGGTGGGGGGGGCAACCCCTCCAGCAATGAAAAATGATAGAGGAGTAGTTAGTAAGTAAGGAGTTGTTAGTAAGTAAGGACTTGTTAGTAAGTAAGGAGTTGTTAGTAAGTAAGGACTTGTCCCTTGCTTTTTACTCGACGCGTGTGTGGCGATGGCGCAGCCATCGATCGAGGGTCGAATTCAAACCGCGTTGTGTGATCGGCATCGCGCTCGCTGAAGGTGTTGATGCCTTCAGGGAAGCCGTGTCCTGCTGTAGACGCAACTGCGCACAATTCTGAGTCACTTATAACTGCTTTGCCGTTACTTATTGCCATAGGACGATTGTCCTATCATCTCATAGAGTCCCTGGCACATAATATGCTACACAGTGGCAGTGTGGGTCGCAAAATGCCGATTTATTACTAATAAACCCCAATGATCCGATCGAAATTAGGGATTTCGATCGGATCATTGGGGGGGCACGTGCCACCGCACCTTCCCCCCCCAACTGTCTCCGCCAGTGGTTCTCCTATCTCTGCATGGCCTTGTACGCCACTCACTCCCTGGGTCGCGAGCAAAAACGCGCGTCCAGTCACCTGGCAGGTGACGCGCACCCACTCGGCGCGCTCGGCCACGGGGACCGTGGTCCCGCTCCTCTCGTCCACCAGCCGGGCCCCCTGCGCGGCTCGCACCCCGCTTCGAGGTGACCCGTCAGGACCGCTTCCCCTCGCATCGTCCGCCCCCTTCGCCGCGCAGCCCAGAGGCGAGTTGCGAACAACGGCGCTCGCACGGACTCGAGGCTGCTGCTGCTGCTGCTGGTGCTGATGCTGCTGCTGCGTCGGCCGGCGATGAGGACAACCTGGTGTCGTCAGAGGTGCCGCGGTCGGCGACGTCGGCACCTTGTGCCGATCGGCCAGGTGCACGGTGACCTCGGCGACGCCCGAGTTGAGGCGCTGCACGTTCTGGCGCAGCTGCACGAAGAGGTTGTTGAGGCTCTCACACACGGAGCCGCGCAGGAGCGGGGGGAAGGTGGTGCCGGCGCGGTTGCTATCAGATGCGGGTCCCGTGCGTACGTAGCCATGGGATCCCAGGTCATTGCTGGAGTCGTGGTGAAGCCTGGGATGTGGGCCGAGCGGTCGTGGGCTTGTCACGAACTTGCCTGCCAATTGTAAGTCCGTTACGCAAGTGCGCGGCGCGTGTTTGTTTTGTATGTGGATGTGCACGCGTGCGTGATTGCGTAGGTAAGCAAAAAAAATAAGCTAAGTATTAACCGCTAGTTATACTTTGGCACGTGGCTTCAATGCACATCCGGAGGAAGCTCCCACAGAGCGTGGAGCGAAACGTCGGACACCGTGCCTAAGGACACGCGGCATAACCCGAAAAACACATCGGAGAGCTGTACAGCACAACCGCGAAATCCTACGCATTTTAGTTGACTGTATTCATAATACGACGAATAATAACGATAACACGAGAGTAATCAACTCGAAAAAGCAGTAACTCGGGCGTGGATGGAGGTTGGTTCACGCACCGCCGCTGGGCTGCTCGTTGTTCACGAGGAGTCTGGTGAAGTATGTCTGCGAGGTGGTATGCTCTTGGCCATGCCCTTTGCATTCCCCTGTCCTCGCCGAGCGATTGCCACGTGGCAGAGTTGCCTCCGAGTCTCCCGGGGTCGGGGGTTTGGCCTCGACCTCGTCGCCCAGCGGTGCACAGATGTCATCCTCACCTTTGCTGTCCGCGTTCACCTGGATTATGGGACAAGCTCGTGAGCATCATCGTCACCGTTGGCGCCGCCGGCAGTAACAATAATCATCAGAATAAAAATCGGAATCCAATTGTATGACGCGCCTCCCATGCAGAACATCACGAGGCACCATCGTTACATGAGATCATCAATTTGGTCGGGGAATGACCCTGGAACAAATGTAATGTATGAAAGCAATGCGGTGTCGATAATGCACACAAACGGGAATTTACAACATGTAAAAGCTTAAATGTCCTCGAAACTATTATACTCTAAATTTGTGTTCGCATAATTGAGTTATTTTCGCCGTCTGATAACAATGGCTTTAATTGACAGAAGTTATACGCCGATGTGGATGGATTGTGGGTGCATTGATAAGTGTCATGTAAATATGAGTGTATATTTGATCAATCTTATGGTCATCAATGCTAATCATCAATGTCATATAACGGCCCTTTGTTAATCACCACGACTAATCAACAAGGAATGGCTTAAAGATATCGTATTTAAATACTTGTGCTAGGGGGAGTGAGACTTTCACGGATATATTACAGCTTGGAATGATGTGGCTAAGTACTTTAGTTTCGCCGTCATAGCAGAATAGTGTGTTATAGGATTACTTTATGGGATTTTTACAAATTTGTTTTAGGATTCACAGTGAAGCCAATAGCAACCACACATCTTCACAATTGTCTTCCTGATATATTAGTGGGAATGGTGTTGAATACATGCTTCCTTTGCGACCGTCAAACGAATATCAAACGTCCCAATCAACGTCCCGTCGGTAGAACATGACGCTGTTGTAAATAATAGATCGACTGTGGTTCACCGTGCGGTGATCGAACCCATGTGCCCTTGGCGTTATTAGCATCACGCCTTAACCAGCTGAGTTAACTGACAAAGTACCGGTCGCCATCTGTCACAATTAATCATTATAAGGGCAGTATTATACAAAGGGGAATGGGGCATGATAAACACTTTGTTTTTCAAGTGATACGGGAATGAAAATGACAACAAAAGCTGAATGAGATACATTGAGGCAGGAAGAGGGACACGTGGAATGGAGAACACATTGGAATTTAGAGCCATCGTATTGTCTGTTGATAAAAGTGGGCTTGGGAAGGACAGGTCAGCTCAAGGGGATGATGGCAGGTGGTCCAGACGAATGATGGAATGACAGACAAATGCGATGCATATGCCAGAGGACGTCCACTGCTGAGATCCACCGGTATATTTACAAAAAGGACTGCGTATGTATATAGTACATGTAGTCTCCAGCCCCACATTACAGTGAATAACATGGTGCGTCATTTTGTGTCGGTGGCGAGATGTTAACTACCTCGCGTGGTGTACAGGAGGTTGTGGGTTCGATTCCGACACTGACGCCTGCTGTATATTTAGAGTTGACGCGTCTCTCTCCCCGTGGTCGTGTGGATTTTTCACCGGGTCCTCCGGTTTTTCCCTCCACATTTAGAAACACGCCTTTAGAGCACAGTATTTGGCTGTTATAAATGTCCACGTGATAAGCTACTTTGTTCAGCTATCATTTGTGGCCAGGTCGCTCCTGAAAAAGTCGGTGGGCCTTATCTGGTAAAATGTAAATAGTTTGTATCTTAACAGAGGGTCCTACCTCGCCTCTAAACATCCGGCAGTTCACAACCATTGGTTCAAGTCAAGCATATGCTCTTCTGGTGAGACACTGAAATATTGAAACCGGTCCAGAGTTTTGCTTGCATTGCACTCATGCTGCCGAAATTGTGCACTGGCAAAGAGGTGCGTGTGGCTGATGGCACGTGAAACAAATACTTTGACAAGCGTGTATACGGAAGGAATGGTATAGAAAGTAGACACTACACGACTTAAACGTTGGGAACATGTGGCCGGTTAGCTCAGCTGGTTAGAGCGTGGTGCTAATAACGCCAAGGTCGCGGGTTCGATCCCCGTACGGACCATTGACGTTTTTGTTCATTCACACCGTTGTTGTGTTTTTTCAGCGATGTTGAGCCTCCTTTATCACCGTATGGTTCACGTAAAAATTATCGTGATATTATTGAATCACATTCCTTGAAGAGGACAGTAGTCATGGCTGCTTTCTAAACCGAAAGGTTTTGCAACATAGGCTGCGAAGTGGACACACAGACACCACGTGCGGGTGAACAGAGAGAACAGTGAAATATAATAATATCCCATGCAGGTATTCTTTGGGTCTTTCGGTAAAGTCACGACGTTGTAGTTTTTGTTGTTGTTATTTTCTTTGAACCTATCTACGTGACTTTACCGAAAGACCCAAAGAATATGAATTCCTGCAGTCACGAAACCTTTAAATCAAGATTTAATATCCCAGATGTTATAGGTTGGGGGTCTATGTGCAGGAATGCAAAGTGCATGGGCAACAGCATCCGCTGTTGTACTGAACGTCTATGCTCTCACGTCTGTATGCCACCCTTCTCCATTCGCTTGTGTTACTCACTTCGACTGTGATCCGTTGCTTTAGGGGTCAAGGGTTGGTGAATCACGAACGTCGTGAAGTATGGTCAAACACATTTTTTAAGCGATACGGTAATGAAAATGAAAACATAAGCTAAGCTCATAAAGAACGATATGAGATATACGTTGGGGCAGGAGGAGGGATACGTATATTGGAGAACACATTGGAAAATTGAGCCATCGTATTGTCTGTTGATAAAAGTGGGCTTGGGAAGGGCAGGTCAGCTCAAAGGGACGATGGTAGGTGGTCGTGACGAATGATGGAATGACAGACAAATGCGATGTATATGCCAGAGAGAGGACGTCCACTGCTGAGATCCACCGGTATATTTACAAAAAGGACTGTGTATGTATATAGTGCATGTAGTCTACAGCCCCACATTACAGTGAATAACATGGTGCGTCATTTTGTGTCGGTGGCGAGATGTTAACTACCGCGCGTGGTGTACAGGAGGTTGTGGGTTCGATTCCGACACTGACGCCTGCTGTATATTTAGAGTTGGCGCGTCTCTCTCCCCGTGGTCGTGTAGATTTTTCACCGGGTCCTCCGGTTTTTCCCTCCACATTTAGAAACACGCCTTTAGAGCACAGTATTTGGCTGTTATAAATGTCCACATGAAAAGCCACTTTGCTCAGCTATCATTTGTGGCCAGGTCGCTCCTGAAAAAGTCGGTGGGCCTTATCTGGTAAAATGTAAATAGTTGGTATCTTAACAGAGGGTCCTACCTCGCCTCTAAACATCCGGCAGTTCACCACCATTGGTTCAGGTCAAGCATGTGCTCTGCTGGTGAGACACTGAAATATTGAAACCGGTCCAGAATTTTGCTTGCATTGCACTCATGCTGCCGAAATTGTGCACTGGCAAAGAGGTGCGTGTGGCTGATGGCACGTGAAACAAATACTTTGACAAGCGTGTATACGGAAGGAATGGTATAGAAAGTAGACACTACACGTCGACTTAAACGTTGGGAACATGTGGCCGGTTAGCTCAGCTGGTTAGAGCGTGGTGCTAATAACGCCAAGGTCGCGGGTTCGATCCCCGTACGGGCCATTGACGCTTTTGTTCATTCACACCGTTGTTGTGTTTTTTCAGCCATGTTGTGCCTCCTTTATCACCGTATGGTTCACGTAAAAAATTATCGTGATATTATTGAATCACATTCCTTGAAGAGGAAAGTAGTCATGGCTGCTTTCTAAACCGAAAGGTTTTGCAACATAGGCTGCGAAGTGGACACACAGACACCACGTGCGGGTGAACAGAGAGAACAGTGAAATATAATAATATCCCATGCAGGTATTCTTTGGGTCTTTCGGTAAAGTCACGACGTTGTAGTTTTTGTTGTTGTTATTTTCTTTGAACCTATCTACGTGACTTTACCGAAAGACCCAAACAATATGAATTCCTGCAGTCACGAAAGCTTTAAATCAAGATTTAATATCCCAGATGTTATAGGTTGGGGGTCTATGTGCAGGAATGCAAAGTGCATGGGCAACAGCATCCGCTGTTGTACTGAACGTCTATGCTCTCACGTCTGTATGCCACCCTTCTCCATTCGCTTGTGTTACTCACTTCGACTGTGATCCGTTGCTTTAGGGGTCAAGGGTTGGTGAATCACGAACGTCGTGAAGTATGGTCAAACACATTTTTTAAGCGATACGGTAATGAAAATGAAAACATAAGCTAAGCTCATAAAGAACGATATGAGATATACGTTGGGGCAGGAGGAGGGATACGTATATTGGAGAACACATTGGAAAATTGAGCCATCGTATTGTCTGTTGATAAAAGTGGGCTTGGGAAGGGCAGGTCAGCTCAAAGGGACGATGGTAGGTGGTCGTGACGAATGATGGAATGACAGACAAATGCGATGTATATGCCAGAGAGAGGACGTCCACTGCTGAGATCCACCGGTATATTTACAAAAAGGACTGTGTATGTATATAGTGCATGTAGTCTACAGCCCCACATTACAGTGAATAACATGGTGCGTCATTTTGTGTCGGTGGCGAGATGTTAACTACCGCGCGTGGTGTACAGGAGGTTGTGGGTTCGATTCCGACACTGACGCCTGCTGTATATTTAGAGTTGGCGCGTCTCTCTCCCCGTGGTCGTGTGGATTTTTCACCGGGTCCTCCGGTTTTTCCCTCCACATTTAGAAACACGCCTTTAGAGCACAGTATTTGGCTGTTATAAATGTCCACATGAAAATCCACTTTGCTCAGCTATCATTTGTGGCCAGGTCGCTCCTGAAAAAGTCGGTGGGCCTTATCTGGTAAAATGTAAATAGTTGGTATCTTAACAGAGGGTCCTACCTCGCCTCTAAACATCCGGCAGTTCACCACCATTGGTTCAGGTCAAGCATGTGCTCTGCTGGTGAGACACTGAAATATTGAAACCGGTCCAGAATTTTGCTTGCATTGCACTCATGCTGCCGAAATTGTGCACTGGCAAAGAGGTGCGTGTGGCTGATGGCACGTGAAACAAATACTTTGACAAGCGTGTATACGGAAGGAATGGTATAGAAAGTAGA